CACCATGTGGTCACCTTTGGGGTGGGGATTGAACTCATGCTGAAATGGCTTTAGCTTCTTAGTGCTGTGCTTTAACCCGCTGCACCACCAGGGAGGGCTGTATTTGTTTGTTTTTTTCTTTTTTATTCATTTTTGCATTAAAGAACTGGGGTGCAGGTCAGAGGTGGGGTTGGTGATGAGAGGATTCCTAGAGACAGAGTGGAGAACAGAACAGGTGGATCTACTGAAATCTTCTGCTAGCAGAAGGTGAAACAGGAGAGGTCTGCTGTGTCATGTGCATCACCTCCCTGACTGGGGAGAATCTGAAGAAGGGGAAGTGAAATTATGGGATTCAGCAAGAACTCACTTGTCCTTTGTCCTTGTGTTTCAGAGACTGGAGCACAGGGAGGTGCTCGTGGGCCTGCTGTTCCTGGTTCTGCCCTTCCTGCCTGCCAGCAACCTCTTCTTCAGGGTGGGCTTCGTGGTGGCCGAGAGAGTCCTGTACATGCCTAGGTAACTGCTGCTTCTGGTCTTGGAGAACCCATGCCCAGCTGCAGGACAGCCCCTGATGTGTGGGACAAGGGTGCCCATTTCCTGAGATCTAAAAGCAGCTAGAGCAAAGTGGGCGAGGGCCAGTTTGCAGGTGCTTATCCTGCTCCCCTCCAGCAATGGTTCATGCCAGGCCCAGCCAGCCCCAGCCAGTCCAGGAGGCGACCGTGGCACCCAGCACCTCTGTGTCCCAGTGTGTTTTGTCCCACACGATGACAGTGACATGCTAGTGCTGTTAGTTGACTTGCAGGAAAGTATTATGTTCAGTAAGGTGATTGTAACTGACTTCCATCTTCCTTCTCTCTGTGTGTCGTCCCTCTCATCCTTCTTTAACATAAAGTGGGAGCAGTCTAAAATTAGCCCTTAAGGGGGAAAAAATGGTTAAACATGATCCACAGCATCCGGGTATATGACAACATCATGCCACTTCACTCTGAATGTTGGCCTGAGTGGAAGTGCATGTGTTCCCATCAGCATTCACCTGTCAGCACTGCCAGGTCACATTTGCTCTCAGCTGCCTGCAGGTGGTTCTTCCACTTACAGTGTGTTACCTTGAGTGAGACTCATGACACTTGAGAAGACATGAAGGTTTTCTCATTTCAAAATAAGGATTTTGCAAAGAGATAGCCTCCTGAATGGGCGAAAATATTTGCACACCACGTGACCAATATCAAAGAGCTACGAAGAACTTGAAGGACTCAACAAAAACAAAGCAAACAACCTGGTCAAAAAATGGGCAACAGGGCCCTCCCTGGTGGCGCAGTGGGTTAAAGCACTGCACTAAGAAGCTTAAGCCACTTCTGCATGAGTTCGATCCCCGCCTGTCCCCAAGGTGACCACATGGCGCCGCAGACCTCTCCTGACCCTCCCGCTGCTCCCCTCAGCAGTGTACTTCGTC